GCCGTGTGTATATACAGTCCGTCTGGCTTGCGGGAGAGAGGATGCGCGCGCGCGCGCTCGTGTGTGTGTGTGTGTGTGGACTTGGAGCTGTTTAGCTGCCCCCCCGGGGGCACAGGCAGCCCGCCGCGCCCCCGCCACTAACGCAGTGGATTGGCGCGGTGCCACACGGTGCTCGCCCGCCACTGCTCCAGACCAGGACCAGCCAGGAGGGCGACCCGCGCCGCGCGGGGGGAGAAAAGAGAGAAGGAGCGAGGGGAAAGACTACTACTAGTGGTGGTGGTGGCGGCGGGGTAGGAGGGCAGGAGGACTGATTACGACTAATGATTCTTGTGGGACACGGGGGCCTTTGCGGCGGCCGACAACACTCTTGGACCGGAGAGGAGGCCCCCCGGAGATGCCCCTTTTAGATAGGGCAGCGCGCGGTGCGCCCTCCCACCACTGCCCCCTCGCTAGCGAATCTCTTCCACCCAACCCTCCCCGCGGAGCTCGAAATCGGGAAAGGGAAAAAAAAAACCGGCTTGACTGGTAATATAACAAGTATACGTAACGCATCTCTCAGTCGCACACGCAGAGTAAGTGTTTGGGTGTCGGCGTCAGTGTTGCCAGAAAAGTAGGCAAAACCCGCCCAACACACAGCTGTGCGGAGCGGTCGGTACTTATCTACGCCTGCCTACTAGGCAAAACCTCAGCACGAATGTGTAGATGTTGCCTAGTAGGCAGGCGTAGATACCGACCGCTCCGCACAGCTGTGTGTTGGGCGGGTTTTGCCTACTTTTCTGGCAACACTGGTCGGCGTTTTAAACCAAAACGATCAAACATGAATCAACAAGATATAGGCAACGGCAGTCATCAACAAACATGTCCATAACTTACTGTAATGATACTGTTCCACATTTAAGTACAGAAACGTCGTTTCGGCAATTCATCAATAAACCAGTGATTTTTTGTATATTTTTTTTAAAGAAAAATCGTGCTGTTGGGCGGATACGCTGCCCTCTAGTCAGATACTAGCATGGAAGTTTGTCGCCGCGAAAAGGATTTTTACATTTTTATTCATACTGGAATAAGATCGTCGGGAACGAGGGGGCACAATTATTCATCGACCTCCAGCAACGGGACGGGGTGCCAAGCCAAGACCAGGAGGCTGAGGCCACCACCAAGGCACCATGTGCTCCCAACCAACCTCAGCCTCTCTCTCACTCTATCTCTCTCTCTCCCATCACTCTCCCCACCCGCGACCCCCACTTGACTTTCAGATAAGACTTCTTCTTTGGAAATGGCCGGTCCGTACCGCGTACGGTGGCACCGTGAAAAAGGGTCGATTTCAAATCTCGGGCCGCCGCCGAGCCACGCGGGATGGACCGGAATACACCAAGCGAAATATTTCAGCGGCAAAGTACTCAGCACATTACGTCGTGAAATTCGAACAGAAAAAGAAAGATACTACTTGGAGTCAGGTTGACTGGTGAACTGACCCCCCGAGGGAGTAGAGGGGTTCGGGTTCACTCGTGATTAGAGACACATCTCGGCACATCAAAGAGAAAGAGGTAATCCAACACGTTCGGCGTCACGAGTCAGAACTTCGCCCCGCCTCCCTAATCGCTCCATAGCCTCGAACGTGTTAAATTCCGCCGCAGCGCGATGATTTTACCGCTCATTCGACCCCCCCCCCTCCTATTTCCCAACAGACAGAAAAAAAGAAACAAGAAATTACTTTCGCCTCGGGACTTGATCGCCCTCCTCTCCTGCCCCGCTTTCCCCTTCCACCCAACGGTTCCGGCATTTCCACCAGATAACCTAACACTCCCTCCTGGGTTGTAAAAGAAAATGTCACCCGGCCCGACCGGCTAGGTCAACATGACCAGACCGGGGGAAAAGGGTCTTAAAAAGGAAATGCGGAGAGGGGGGAAGGGAGGGGGCGCGACAGAGAGAGAGAGAGAAAGCGGACTGGTCCGATTCGCATTTAAAACACACCGAGCCGATAGTGGGTCCCACCCTGGTTTGCTAGTCATCGGCGGGGCAAACATTTCCTTTTCGCAAATCCCACTTTCCTTTTTACCCCGGTATAGGCGTGGCGTTGTGGTTGGGGAGAGAAAGAGTAGAGCGAGGGAGAGGGAAGAGGGGGGTAATGGCGGTGAGAGAGAGCGGAGAGGGGGGGGGGGCGGAGCGAGAGGGGGCGCAGCTGTGGGCTCGGTAGGCGCGGCGCGGCCACAGGCCCGGCAGAGGGCCACCCCAGGCCTCCCTCTGTCTGTCCGCCCCTGAGTCCGTCTGTCTGTCTGTCTGCCTCGCAGCTGCTGTATCGATCCTGGACCGTGCCGGGCAGTCGGCACCCCCTCCCCTCCTTCCCCCCCCCCCCCCCCCCACGCTCTCCACTCCCGTCTATACCCCCGTTGGTTTTACTACTACCCTTACTACGCGCGCGGTGTGGGACCGGAGAGGGGTGGGGGTGAAGGGGGGCAGTGATTGGGCAAACTATTGACAGGTGATCTTGGAGCCGTTGGAGGGGTAGGGGGCAATAGGGGGGAAATGTGCTCTCCGGCACACAACAAGAAGTAGCCGGCGTGCACCTCGTTAGCGCGCGCAAGCGGGTACTCGTGTAACTTTTGATCGAGAGTTGCCAAATTATATGTTTCGGTGACAATAAAAACAAAAGAAACAAAAATAATTTGTGTTCGTCGAAAAGGAAACAAAAATACAGTAAGCACAAAAACAAATCTAAAAGTACATTAAAAAAAAAAAAAACACAACTTGTTATTTGTGATTCAGCCAACCGTTTCTCGAGAGATATGAGGCGCTTCACTGTCACGGCTGACCCGAGACCCGAGGGGATCACAAGTTCGGATACTTACACGACAGGTCAAATATTACCGATTAGTGATTTGTATGCAACAAATGGCCGTCCAAACTTCGTAATCAAAATTTTTATGAACATTAACTAGTATTCACGAAAATGCAACGTTTGACTATATATTTACGCGCCACGAAATTTCAGAGTTGTGCGGCGGACCCCTTCGGAGATGATTCAGCCCAGCGTGCGTCGTGAGTTGTAAATGCGTGTGTGCAGCCGGTTCAGCTTATCTGCCTGGACCGTTGCGAGAAGAGGCGGCAGATGTGCAGGTGCTCTGCGTGGTGGGGCGTGGTGGGGCGAGGCGGGGCGTGGCG